TTTTGTTTTGTTTTGTTTTTTGTCTTTTTGAGACAGGGTCTCGCTATGCAGTTCAGGCTGGCCTTGAGCTCACTTTGTAGCCCAGGCTGGTCTCAAACTCGCAAGAATCCTCCTGCCTCAGCCTCCTGAGTGCTGGGATTACAGGCGTGCACCACCACGCCCGGCCTTATTCCTGTTTATTTATTTATTTATTTATTTATTGTTATTCCTGTTTAATAGATGAGAAAATTAAGGTTAAAAAACTTGCCTCACACAGGAAATCGCTGTGAGTTCGAGACCAGCCAGTGCTACAAAGTGAGCTCAAGACCAGCCTGAACTGCTTAGTGAGACCCTGTCTCAAAAAGACAAAACAAAAAAACAAAAAAAAGAAAACCTTGCCTAACAGCTGGGTGTGGTGATGAACACCTATAATCCCAGCACTTGGGAGGCTGAGGCAGGAGGATTGCTGTGAGTTTGAGGCCATTCTGGACTGCACAGTAAGAACCTGTCTCGAAAAACAAAACAAAAAACTTGCCTAACATCACACAAAGTGAGAGAAATGGGATCTGAATCCAAGCAATCTAACTAAATCTTATGCTCCTAATTTCTATTTTCCACTCCCTCAAAAAATGTGTAAATAACATCAGAGCAATCCAAATATGTCTCTATCTCTATTGATCTATATGACACATACTTTACCTGGCCCATAGCAAAACAAAGGGAACAAATACCCATCATTTCCAGTTCCCAAAGAAATGCTGACTAGAGCAAGACAAGCATCTGCTAAAGCCGGGTTCCCAGTCTCCTCAAAATGCTTCCCAGGGCAGAGCAGAGAGACAGGTGGAGGGAGCACAGGGAGGCCATCCTGAGCTCACGGGCATGGCCCTGTTCTGGGCAGGTACAGATCTGCTCCCTTCCTGGCAATTCTTCGGTGTCAAGGGACATATAAGACCATTTAATGCTGGAGACCATGATGAAGCAGCTCCGAGCAGGACTTATATTTACCAACTGGCTTTCCATGTTTACTTGTGAGTCATTGGTCCCTACTGAGGCCTGTAATGCTGGGTGAAGCCATGAGGCCTCAAAGGACAAGATAAGGTCGCAGAGGAGGACATTTGGCTCCAACCCCTATTAGCTAAGAGGAGACTATAGCTGCAGGCATCTCACTCCTGCCGTGAAGGCCTTCCTGGAGATAACATAGTTCTCCTAAATTAAGTATTACTTGGAGAATTTCAGAATGGGTTTCCCAAGTCCTGCTTAGATTCCTGCATTTTCTTCAGTATCCCCCTCCTTTATTTGAAAACCTAATCAATGACAGGCCACTCAGGGAAGTCTTGGTGTCAACCCGGAGAATCTCAAGTCTGTAATAATACTGAACTCTCCTAGAGCCCTGAAATCATTTCAACTGTCTCATTTATTTAAGCCTTTGCTGTCCACTCTTTTGGGAGATTGCAGGCCTGATCAGCCTGCAGTAACTAAGGGATACTATTAATGTAATAATTTAATATAATGTGAAATTTAAAATCTATTAAAATAGTACCTGTTGATCTTAAAGGATTACCTATATTCTAGAGTTCTAAAGGACCTTCCTGTCCAGCCCCATCAAGAGCCTACAGCCTTTAGGGGCTGGGGATTTAGCTCAGTGGCAAAGCGCCTGCCTGGCAAGTACAAGGTCGTGAGTTCGGTTCCCGGTACCGGAGAAAAACCAAAAAAAAAAAAAAAGAGCCTACAGCTTTTGGTGTGGACCCTCCAAAAGAACAAGTGACAGTCTTGTGTCACTCTCTAGAGGTCTCTTTAGGAGAAACAATATAATAGAAACAACAGAATAATAATCAGGTAAATAGGCCCATGACCAGGATAAACAACTCAAGTGCCCTCTACTCTTTGTCTTTCTGGAAAATTACTAACCTGTGGCTCTGTGGGATGATTTCCGTGAAGTGATACAGGGTCTATAGGGCTGTGGGGGTATCTTAGTGATAGAGCGCTTGTCTAGCGAGCACAAGGCCCTGAGACTGATTCCCAGTACAGCAAGAAAAGAAAGTGGAAGGCCAGGGATATAGTACAGTGGCACAGCGCCTGCCTGGCAAGAGCAAGGTGCTGAGTTCAATTCCTGGGACCAAAAAAGAAAAGGAAGGGGAAGGGAGGAGGGGGGAAGGGAAGAGAAGAGAAGGCAGAAGAACAGAAGGAAAGAACAGAAAGGGTCTGTAACTACAGAAAAACAAAGAAATGGAAGAAGGTTCTAGAATCTATTATTGACTTCACGAAGTTCATCAGGCCAATAGAGAGCTATGATAAGGAGCTTACTAGATAGCTGTCTCTTGAGTCAGACCAACAAGTCCTTATTCCTTATGAGACATAAAATTTCAGAGACCCTGAAAACCAACTGGTACCACTCAGGATATTCTCAGAAGGCCCCATAGCAGGAATTGGACCATCACAGTGTCAAGGAGAAGAGTCCTCTAAGGGCAAGGGGTCGGAGGGCCACTGCTGTATCAGCAGATCACCTGACGCTAAATGTCTCTAGAACCATGCACCACTACTTTCAGCACTGGCCCAGCTGCAACTAAAAATAAGTCGGTACTATTCAGTCTGCATGACATCTGGTCTCGCTAGGTTTTGTGCCCCTGGATTCCCTGATCTGAGCAGAGGAATTTAGAGACAACTGCAATACTTTTTTTTTTTTTCCTGAGACGGGGTCTCACTGTGAAGTTCAATCTGGCCTTGAACTCACTATTTAGCCCAGGCTTGCTTTGAACTAGCAGCCATCCTCCTGCCTCAGCCTCCCAAGTGCTGGAATTACAGGCATCCAATACTTTTTATACCTCCTACTATGGGTAAAATTGAAAGTGCAAGTTCTTGGCCTGGGCAGCCAGACCGTAGGCCTCCAAGGAACGGCTGGTTTGATTTGAAAAGGAGATAAGAATTCCTTTAGTAAAAGAAATTTTTAATGATTACTTGAATGTTGTTATTTCAACTTCATTACCATAAGCCCTTTATTTAACAAAATGATGGCAGACAAGGGCCAATTATACCAGCCAGGCAGTGGCCCATTTCATTGGAAAACTGCTCCTTCCTAAATTCTGTACAGTCAACCAGACCTTTATAGGGCTTCCTGTACCAGTGCTCATGCTTCAGACAAAGAAACTGGATAGTGGAGTTGGGGATATAGCTCAGTGGTGGAGCACTTGCCTAGGAAACACAAAGCCCTGGATTCTACACTGAAAATCAAACCAAATAAAAGAACAACCACCACTATAAGGTAGTAAGTGACCATAGCCAAAAGGGACAGGAGTGTATTTTGTATTGTATGTAACAATCACCACTGACTTCACCAAACAGCTCCTTAGATGGTGGTGGTAGTAGCTCCTCAATTTGATGCTATGAGTTGGTCTAAAGAAGACAAATGAAAAAATGACTTAATACCTTCCACAATCTAATTTTTTTTTCTTTTTGAGAGAGGGTCTCACTGTGCAGTTCAGGCTGAGCTTGAACTCACTTTGTAGTCCAGGCTGACCTCGAACTTGCAATGATCCTCCTGCCTCAGCCTCCCGAGTGCTGGGATTACAGGTGTGTGCCACCACGACCAGCTAAATTAGATTTTTCTAAGCTCCCCATGAACTTGGCAAGAAGGAATTTCTAACATAACAGTCCTACTTGAGACCTCTTAATATGTGAATGGCCTTTGCTTTGCCCTTTCATCCCTCATACACACTACTGCTTGGTCTGTGCCCTTGAAGTAGGGAAGATACAAATTCTTACTAAGAGAGTGGGGCCC